AGATTGTTGTACCTATGATTTTGATGATTACAAAACACATTTGAGTGACTAATTGATTTATTTAAGTATGTAGTTAAATTGCCAATATACTGCAAAGTAAGCAAAATGAGATTGCATTAAAAAGGGCTCAAAGGGTAAAAATATGCAGAGAGCCAACTTAAGAAAATTGCAACCGGCTCTTGGAAGCAAAAGTGCAGAGAGCTGACTGCAAATTTTGTTGAGCCAACTCTACGGGCCAGAAATTCAACTGTTGTGTTAGGGCATACGGAAAATGGAAGCAGAGCCGGCTCCAACTTTATAGCCGGTTATGAGGGCGCATTTAATGCACAACGGTCAATTCTTTTGAAGAATATTTAATGTATTTAAAGTTGGAGTTCCAAAGCCGGCTCAAAGTCTTGCAGCCGGCTCTCGAGGAAAACAGAATGTGCAAGAATCCCGCAAAGCTAGCTGCAGAAATGGTGAACCGACTGTGCAAAGCCGGCTCTATGAAGTTTAGCCAGCTCTCCTGACAGTTCTGCAACTCGAGCCATGCGTCCTGCAGAGCATTTAATGACCGCCAACGGCTAGAAACAGTTATTTTCGAGCAAGGGGCTATAAATATGGTTGGTAATAGATATGAACAAGTTTAGAGAGCATTGTATTGAATATCTTTACCTACCAACTTGTGCTTTAACTTGAGATTTTGATCTTTGAGAAATCTTTATTTGTAATCCTCTTCTTGTGCTATTAGTGAGTGATCTTGGGGGTGTGTTGATTCCTTCAAGAGTGATCTGTAGAGAGGATCTTTGGGGTTTATCTTGTAAAAGGGTGAGATTTGAGAGAAACACCCTTATTCTTGTAAAAGGATTGAGTGGCTCCTTTAAGCCACCTTTGTTGTTGTTAGTGGAGAGTGTGGAGGAAATCCTTGGTGAGTGAAGCCAAGGTAAAGGACTAGGCTCCAAGTGGTTGGATTGAAACTCTATAAATCATTGAGCAAACTGTTCTTCTCTACTCTTTTTAATTTTGGTTTTGTGGTTGCAAAAAGGGGAGAATTTTTGGACTCCAATTCAACCCCCCTCTTGGAGTACATTGAGTCAACATTACACTCACTCGTTGATGAATTAAAGAAAGTTTGGTATAATGGGTTCAAGACCTATGATAGCTTTAGGCATGAACATTTCATTATGAGACCAGCACTGATGTGGATAATTAGTGATTTCCCTAGATATGGCATGTTATTTGGATGGAGCACGCATGGTAAATTGTCATGTCTATATTTTCAGGAAAATTCTAAGGCGTTCCACCTCCAAAATGGTCAGAAGATATCATCTTTTGATTGTCATCGATAGTTTTTACCACTCGATCATCCATTCAGGAGAAATAGGAATGATTTTAAAAAAGGCCATATAGAGAATCTTGCTCCACTAGAGAGATTGTCGGGTGATGATATGTATTGATAAATTCAGCAATTGCCTGATATATTATTTGGGAAGCCATCCCAAAGGCAAGTGATCAAAGAATTCGGTAATTGGCATAATTTGGTTAAAAGGTGTATCTTTTGGGAGCTTCCTTATTGGAGGACAAACTTAATCTGTCATAACCTTGATGTAATGTAGTGTGAGGAAAACTTTTTTGATAATATCTTTCATATTGTCATGGATGACCCATTGACGAAGGACAACTTGAAGGCAAGGATGGATATGGAATTGTATTGCAATAGGCCAAGTTTTTGTATGGTAGAAAGAGGCTCTAATGCGGGTCAAAAAACTGAAGGCCACTTATGTCTTAACTAGGGAGCAAAGAAAACCAGTGTGCTAGTGGCTAAAGAATCATAGATTTCCTAATGGTTTTGCATCCAATATCTCTCGGTGTGTGAATATGCAAGAGACAAAAGTTAGTGGGATGAAGAGTCATGATTGTCACATATTCAGGCAAAGTCTCCTTCCAATTGCATTCCGTGATTTTCTCCCAAAGCAAGTTTGGGAAGCACTTACTAAGATTAGTGAATTTTTTAGAGCCTTATGTTTTCTAGCCATTCATGTTACAAATATGGAGATTTGGCATGTGAAGATTGTAGAAACAATTTGCCAACTTGAAAGAATCTTCCTTCCTTTTTTTTTTTTTTTGAAGCATCTAGCAATCCACCTTCCAAAAGAAGCCAAGGTGGGGGGACGGGTGCAATTCTATTGGATGTATCCATTTGAGGTGTATTATTATAATACCTACTTTTTTTAATATTTTATATCTATAATATAAAACATAATTTTCTTTTTAATTTATTAATTATTAAATTTTTTTTTTTTCATGAATTAGACAAATGCATGGATTGAAGAGTTCGGTGAAAAATAAAGCCTGTCCAGAAGGATCAATATTCAAGAATTACATAATGAGTGAGATCACATCTTTATCTCACTTTATTTTGAAGGAGAAGTTGAGATAAGAGGTGATTGCATCCCCAGGAATCTTTTTGGCCTTAGCCCTTCAGTTAATATTGGCCTTTCAATATTCAATAATCTTAGAAAACCAATTGGTTCTCTACAACAACAACAAGTGTTGACAACGGAAGAGGGTAATGCTGCAATGTATTATGTTCTAATGAATTGTGAAGAACTAAAGGGATGGATTGAGTGAACATTTTCCTAATCCTTATCCTTAACAACATTTGAGAAACCAAATGATCTATTTTAATTTGCACATAATTATAATGGATGCTTGATTAGGGTTTTTGAAGAGGAAGAATGTCAAAATATGACTCCCAAACAAATATAGATGACATGTTCCAATTATCTTGTGTCATGGTTTGAAAAGTCGATAAGTTTAATCCTAACTTTTAATTATTTTTAATTAATTATTATATACTTATAACTAATAAAATAACTCATGTGGTATAGGTTTTACGTAATGAGCTTAAGGGCATTGATGAGCATTTGATTCATTTGGCTTGTGGCCCTTCTTGGATGGTTCCATGTTATAAAGGCTTTTGGGTAAACGGTTTTCGATTTCACACTGCCTCATATGGAAAAAACAAGAAAAGAATGAATAGCGATGTGTGTGTAATGGGAACCACAGGAATAGAATCAGATTTGGATTTTTATGGGTTATTGCAAGAAGTGATTGAGCTTCAATATGTTGGCTCCAGATATCAGCAGACGATTGTTTTATTTAAATGTGATTGGTATGAAACTCTTCCTGCACAAGGAATTGTGGTTGATCGAAAACATTGTCTTGTTGAGATTAATCCAAATAGAAAATTGAGAACTTATAAGCCTTTCATCTTGGCAAGTCAAGCTAAACAAGTGTATTACACTCCATATCCATCACATAATTCTGTTAGGAAGGGATGGGTTGCTGCATTGAAATGCAGGGCAAAAAGTATTATTGAGATGCCAGATGAGCAAGAGGACCAACATGATGATCCGGAGGCCATTTTTCAAGATGATAACCCTCCAGCTCCCCAACCAACCGAGTTAGATCTCATATTATATGAACCTATTTAATATACTGATGGGATTGTATCTATCAGTAAAGTAGAATTTGAGAATGTGGATAATGATAGAGAATTTGAGGAAAAGGATTAGGAGGATGAAGAATTTGAAGATTATTCTACATTTCATGAAGAAATTATTGAATATATTTCTGAGAGTGATAGTAGTAATTAATTAATTAGTAACATATATAAACTTTGTTATTATTTAGTAGTTTATGCATGTGGTATTTTATAAGACATTGGGTGATATGTAAATGGCTTGACCCTAAAAGAGAACTTAATGTGATATTTATTAATATGTATAAGCGATATAACTAAACGATGACTGATATCCAAACTTCATGTAGCAAGAAGAATTTTACTAAAAAAAGGGCATACATGTTTGATGAGGTTTGGGAGAAGTTAAAGTATATATGGATGGAGGACCCATCGTTCAATGTGCACAGAGAGCAAGCAAAGGAAAATCAAGCGAAGGGCCCCAAGGTAACCTGCATGGTGGATCTATGGATTACAATGATTTTGTGCAAAAATTGGTAAAAATTTTACTTTTATGTTTTAGATTTCATATCATAATTTATATAATAATTTTAATGTTAATTATAATGTTTGTGTGAATTAACACAATAATTGATTATGTGATATTGCAAAAGGAACAAAATCCTGAACATAGGGATCCATCATTCGTTGATGTGATCCATGCAAAAAAAATGCATCGTCCAAAGGAAAAAAATAAAATGCCAACATATATTGATCAGAAGGCTCAGGACTATACTGTAAGTATTCTTTCTTTACTATTATTATTTCCTGTGAGGATGGATTGAAGTGAAATTTTCTTTCATTTTTTTTCCTATTAAAAAATCAATTAGAATTAAGGATACCTTATTAATTGCCTAATTAGAACAACTTAAATTCTCCTCTATTTACTCAGTTATATATATTGAAATCAAATAGCATTTTAATTTTATTGAATATCATAGTTGAATATATATATATATATGATTGAATGTATTTTTATACTTTGTTTATAGGGGGAAAGTTCAATTTTTAGGGAAAACTCTATAGAATTTTTTATAAATTTATAATGAATTGTGAAATTTTAAGTAATTTTAGTATGTTATTTATAATTATGTTGATTAATGTGCTTGAAAGTATTCCTTGGATTTGTGATAAGTTTGTACATTGTTTACAAGAGGAAAATATAGTTTTTAGGGGAAACACTACCAATTTTTTTATAAATTTATAATGAATTGAAATTTTTTAAGTAATTTTATTATGATATTTATAATTATGTTGATTAACGTGCTTGAAAGTATTCTTTAGATTTGTGATAAGTTTGAACTTTTTATTCATTTAAGTGAAAACAGATTGACTTTTAATTTTATTAAATATCATAAATGGAATATATATGTATATATGAATGAATGTATTTTATATATTGTTTATAGGAGAAAAGTACAATTTTTAGGGAAAATGCTGTCAAATTTTTTTATTAATTTTTAATGAATTATGAAAGTTTAAATAATTTTATTATGGTATTTATAATTATATTAAGTATCATGATTGCAAGTCTATAGTTAAGTTATAATGTTTTTATACTTTATTAAATGATATAATAAATATGTTATATAATTTATTGCATGAATGATTAACTGCAGAGGATATTCAGAAATATAGGGAGGATAGAATTGCATGGCCAATAGAAGTTGATGCCTAATTTTTGTCTCAAGTTTTGAGTTGACCTTCTAAGGATGAGCGTGTAATATCCCAAATTTTTCTAAGACCTTAGAATTTAAGTTAAGGATTTATGTGGGAGAAATAATCTTTTACGGGGCCTAATGGTCACAAATTTCAAACTCAAGGGGGGTGGAGTTTAAAAAAACAAGGGGTGCAGGTTTCAGGAGTATAAACTCCCAATTTCCCGCATTCTTCTTTTCTCTTCTTGTTTTGAAACCCTAACTCATCCCTCACCATCCTCCATCCTTCACCAACTTCCATCACCAATTCCACTCCAAACCCTTTCACCCACATCTCATAAGTCCCCTAAGTAGCAGCTCATTGTTCCCCACTCCAATGAAGTGGCGTGTTGCCTTCAACAGCCTTGGGTTTCTCTTTTCAGCAAGCAGATGCTAGCCCTTCTCAAGTTCTGGCTATCTTTGCCTTCTAGGCTTCCATTTAAGGAGGAACTCTCTCTCTCTCTCTCTCTCTATTTTCTGGTAAGATGTGAGCATGAAACCAATCTCGTTCTTTCTCTAATTTTGGTAGATTTAGTTGAATATTGACCATTTTAGATTTGGGAAAATGCATAGGATTTATGGGTATTCCGTTTCTTATCTTTTTGAAAGATTGTGACACTGTTTGCTAGTGTTTAGCTGTTGTTCTGCTTAGATTCCCCTGCTATTTTTGCTGCTGTTTTACCAGAAAATCCTGCTGTTTTTGCCATAAAATTTTACTGTTCACGCAAAAAAAATTATGCTGTTTTTGCTGCTGCATTTTCTATAACCTGTTTTGCTGCTGCATTTTCTGCAACCTGTTTTTCTCCTGTACTTTTCTGCAATCTGTTTTTCTGCTATATTTTTCTGCAATCTGTTTTGCTGCATTTTCTGCAACTTGTTTTACTGCTGCACTTTTTTGCAATCTTAGCTGTTTTGCTGCTGCATTTTTCTGCAATCTTGACTGCTTTTGCTTCTGCATTTTTGCTACATTTCCCTAGCTGTTTTCTGCATCGTTTTTAAACCAAAAAATTTTGTATTTTCCCCAAAAAAATTCTGCATTTTGCTATATTTTTCCTTGTTGTTTTCGACATTGTTTTTCCCCAGAATTTTTCTGCCATTTGCCAAGTTTTGCTGCTCCTCGCCGAAAATGTTTGGTAGGTCAACTGCCATCTTTGGAAATTTTCATATGACTATGCGTGAGTTATATACATATACTAGTAAGGTTTTGGTGGGTAGAATGGTAAGAGGAGATAGGGGGAAATTGTTCCTTTGGGATAGAACTTGGTGCTAGAATTAAAGATCAATTTTAGTTGAATGAGGCATGTTGTGACCCTATTGTTCTTGATTATGAAATAGGTACTAAGTCACCACCATCTGCTTGAAACCTTGAATACTTGCTGTTGTAAGCCTACACAAAGAGGTAAGTAAAAGTATGGTAATGCCTTTGGATTTGAGGTAAAGGTTTTTGAAAACATATTTCTAATAGTTTTTGAAATGGTGACGAGACTAAACTCGTTTTACACAAACACGAGCATGATTGGCTTGAAATGAAATTATTATCATTTTCATTGAGTTGAGCATGCCTACTTAGACTTTCCTTAACTGCCCTGATGATCTAGAAATTATTTGTAAATTATGATTTTCTTGTTAAATCCTGCCTGGTTTTGTCCCCAATATAGTTATGTTTTATTTTGCCCACTAGTGGGAGGTTTATAAACGCTAGCACATGTCGACATGTATTCCTAGGAACCGGTTCATCTTGTATTCCTGCCAGTGGACAATACACTGGTTACTACTATACCTGCCAGTGGGAGGTTTATAAACGCTGGCCATGACCTATAGAGGAGACGTCTATGTCATTCCCATACTTAAACCCTTTTTTTTTTTTTTACACATGATTACACTTGTTGGCATGCTATAAATTTTAATTAAGGGCTATCCATATTTTTACTTACTGAGTTATCTCACAAAGTTTTTCCTTGTTCACCATTTCAGGTACTAAAACCAAAGACGTGGGAAAATTGAGGGAGTGACGAGCTAGAAGGCTAGCCATTTGTGTTTCAAACTTAAATTATCTTAGAGTTAAACTAGCCACATATATTTGGACTTAGCTTATTTTGTAATTAGGTTTGCAGAATAAATTTTATTTTCAGATTTTTGCAAAATTGTTCCATGGATTGTAGTTATGAATTTAATAAGTTTTGAGCCTTGTGCATTTGTGAGATTCTCTCACAAGTGTACGACGTCTGTTTTGCCCTTGGATTTGGATTCTGGGGCGTGATAGAGCGACTTTATGAAATGCTCATTTACATGGACCTTGCTGAGCAAGGGGTCTCACACCGTAAGCGTCCTCCACATACCATACTTGACAGTTCTGTCCAGTTATCTCAACGAGTGGTGCAGTTGCACCAAATAGTGATAGAACTATAAGAAAATCAATTGACATTACAAGAGAAAGTTGACAGGATGGAGAGGATGTTTTTTATGATGCAGGGAGGAGGAGCTAGGACAGGTGGGGGAGCATAACTAACTTTATCTTAAGTTGATCTTTGTACCAAAACATCTTTCACTATTGTATGCATGGAAATGTGACAATCCAGACATGTAAAACTAGGATATAGTATTTTAATTAGTATTTTAGGACAAGATATTTAATTATGAAATTATGTTAAGTTTTATATTTATATGTTTCTAGGTAAATTTTTTAATTAGATGTTTTAATTAATATATATTTAGAAATATTTTGAGTAGTAAAAAGTAAAAAATAGGAAACATCTTTGAGAAGCTTGAATTCAATCATAATATTTGATCGAAATACACATAAATTCGGTCAAATATTATGATAGAAAAATGGTCTCATTCCACTAGCCAATGCCACTACACCACTTCATCAAAAAACTGGTTCTAAGGGAAAAAGAATTTTTTTTTCTTATATAAATTCAATCAAATTACTTGACCGAACTACAATCATCATTATTTCGGTCATTAGTAATGGCTGAAATAAGACATTTGGCCAAAAGCTGCACACTTGACCATTCCCTTCAAAAATTGGTGAAATTTTTTAATTTCCCACTAAATGTAATTCAGACATAATTTTTTATCAAACTTCATCCACTTTTTTTTCAGCCCCTGCCTTACGATTTGAATATTATCAATGAAAATGTTTGAAATTTCCACCTTTATATTTGGTCATTTTTACTATCCGAAATACATCTCTGCCTATATATACACCGCCTCATTCTCTTTTCGTCACATCTCCTACTTCTCTTTTATTTCTTTCTTCTCTAACTCTCTGCCTTTATATACAATTTTCTTCTCTTTGTTTCTTTTATATTACCTTTTTATGTCTTCATTTTTCTATCTCTTCTTCTTCTTCATATCTACTCTTATTTCTTCATTTTAGTATTTTATTTACAAGTTTATTTCATATTTTTCACATTTTTTCCAGAACTAATTAATATAACTATATAATTCCTTTCTTTATCATCTCCTTTATACTTTAATTTCTTTTATTATTTGATTATGTAAATTTCTCTATATTTGTTTTTGGTGCTTCTACTAATGGTTTAATTTTTCATTTTCAAGGTTGCTTATGTTGGTTATAATGGGGCAGCATTTTGAAGGTAATTAAATACTGATATGTTTATTTTTTCCATATATTATGTTAATTTCTTTTCATTGTTTAATTTATTTGATTAAATATATGTGAATTTGGTTTATTTTTGTATTAATGTTGGCTCTCTTTTGCAAATGTCAAGTATTTTTTCATTATATATATAAATTTGATTTATTTTGATGTCCTTGCATATATGAAAATTTAATCATAATTAATAATAAATAAATATAATAATAATTAAAAACTATAAAAGATAAAAAAAAATTGTATATAATTGGTGATATTAAAATTAAATTTTTTTAATATAAAATTGCATTATAATATTTATTGTTTGATTAAAATTCATTCAATAATTTGAGTTTCTTTTTTTTTTTTTTTTACAATCTACATGTTTACTTCAGTCAATCATATTGACCGAATTAAACATGCTAATTTTATTTTTTTATAATGTGCATGCTTGATTCGGTCAAACATACTAACCGAATTAAGTTCAATTATTTTATTTTTTCCAATAAAATGTTCATCCTTAATTCGATCAGTCATATTGACCAAATTAAACATGCTAATTTATTTTCCAACATATGCATGCTTAATACAGTCAAACATATTGACTGAATTAAGTTCTTTTTTTCCAAAATGTTCATATTTAATTCTGTCAATCATTTTGACCAAGTTAAGTTGAATGAGCTAATTTGTAAATTTAGTTTGGTCATCAATTTGACCAAATAAAATCCAACAAATTGAGGGGAATCTATATATTTTTGGTCAGATATTCTGACCGAAAAAACATTGGTTAAAATACCAAAAATATCCCTTTCCATTAATTCGATCATTTAATTTCACCGAAATACGAACCTGGTGACTTGGTTTTGACTTAGTATTTCGGTTAGTGTTATTGACCAAAATATATGAGTAAAATAATATTTTTTTTTTTTGATCAATTGATTTGTCCAAATATAAGAGTTGTTTAATGATTTATTCAACCATTATTTCGATAAAAAAAATACTAACCAAGTTAGATTTTATTTAAGTCAAGACTAAATTTTCTTCGAAATACATTTCATAGAGTGAATATTTGGTCCAATAATTCAGTCATGGGATTTGACCGAAGTGCTGATGTTTTGGTCAAAATATAGACTTTTTTGGTCATGGTGCTTGACCCAAGTACTCCCCTTTTCTAGTAGTGTAATTATGAGTTGTCTCAAACCTTAGGTCATTTGAAAAATGATTAGTGTACTCATTAATTCAATATACCTATTAGCACATATTGGTTTAGCCAATAAATTTTGTAATTAAAATTTTTTCCACTTTAAACTCAAATTTAAAAATAATAAATTTTTATTAATTATATTATGATCTGTGTTAAACTAAAAGATATATCAATCATTATTTAAGTTATTCCCTTGAGCTGCTTTGGACCTTGAGTCACAGCTAGAGCCACCTTAGACCCCAAGTTCAGGCCCGAGCCACCTTAAACCTCATACCACACTGAAACCTTGGTCACAACTTGAATAGCCACAAACGTCGAATCACCCCTCAAGTTGACACAGACTTTGGGTCAAGCCACAAGCCGCTCGGAACTCAAGTCTTGACCCGGTGCTGTCCTGAAGCCGTCACTCTAGAGTGGCTCAGTGAGTAATCCTCACTCCTTGGTAGCTCGAGGTGTAACCTAAATTATAAGGCAAGTCAAGGCATGAGGTAGGGTCTTAGGGTGGCAAAGGGCATGAGTTGTGGGTCTGAGACGGCTCAAGGTATGATTACGGACCAACGCGGCTCAAATCAAGTCACTATGCATGACCCAAGGTCTGAAGTGGCTCACAATATGGACCAATGTTAATTAGGGTAGTGTGGGGTGTGAATTACAATTGGGTTGGCTTGAGCGGTTACACAAGATGTGTAGCAGCTTAAGAGTGATTTGGTCTTGAAAACATCTCGAGACATGGATGGCTCTAAATATATCACTAACATTATAATTTTTAACTAATGATATTAAAACAAATATTTAAATTATAAAAAAATTAATTAAGTTTTGTTGGATCACAGTTAACTATAACCCAACCCGGTTAACCAATGGATCTATCTTCTTCTTCTTTTTTCTCTCTCTCTTTTTTGATCAGCACCACTGGATCTATCTGATCATGTCATTTTAGATTTTGGGTCGAGACTATGGAGTGTAGACCCAGAACTGGGTTGGGACCAAATTTGCTAGTTCTAACATGTTCTCCAAGCTTTTCTCTTATTCGTTTTGAAAATAATTTTCATTACCATATTTTCTTCCATATGCCAAATATCAAAAAGTAAAAAACATATTTTCCAAAATTTTAATTTAAGCGAACCAAACTATCCTAAAATTGTTGATTTAACCAGAACAAAATTTTGTAAAATTGTTGGTTTTGAGGGCATGCAATCTTACAAGGTGAAATTCTAGGCCAAGAACTGGAGAATCTGAATGAGTCCAAACCGATTTCTTTCATACGAGCAATGTCCTCCTGTTAAATTAACTTTCTGCATGTCATTATTTTAACAATGGATAAAAATGGACTAATAAAGAATTGTTCACAAACCTTGAATAAATAATAAAATTCGTCTGCCACATCTCCACTGCTATGGTCTGAAATTTTCTCTGCCATCAAATGAAAATAACATGTCACCGTTTTTCCTTTTTATTATTATTTTTTTCTTTCAATTTGTGAGATGTTAGCCTGCTTAGTATTTTAAGCGCTTAACCTTGAACTTCTAATTTTAATTCAACATCAACAGTTAAGACTCATTTTAGTAGTGTTGTAGTTTTTTATTTTTAAAATTTTGTAACTCTTAACAAAAAGTTGTTTATTTTCTAATATTTTTGAATATATTATCATCATTATTAGAGAAATAAAAAAAATAAAACTGTTAAATAAATTTATATTTTTTTTATTGTTTGTGTTTGAAAATGAATGTTTAAATGTCCTTCAAAAGTAGGTAAATAGATCTGAAACATATAAAATGCCCTTAATCGATTTGGCTATATATGGACCAAGAAACTTCTCTTAAATAATTAGCTTTCTACGTTTATATTTTTAGTTTTAGTCTTCACTAATTATAAAATTTGTAAAAATTATAATTAAAAACTAAAAATCGCAACTATATTAAACGAAAAGTTGCTAACACAGCAAAATTCTACCTTTGAAGTTGTCATGCAATAATAAAAACTCATTAGAATGTATGAATTAGATATAAGTTTCAAGTTGGAATGTGGAATTTACAAGTAAATCGTATTGTTTACAATTTCTCATTCTTCATAGCCTCGAATGGGCTTTTATTTTTCGGCCATGCCTTGAGATGGGCTTAGTCGGCCTGATTCTTATAAAGTTTATAACTTTCTTTTGTGTGTGTTCAAAAAGCCTGTCTTCCTACAAAAATTCTAGTTAACAAAAATAAATAAATATTTTGTCTATTTATTTTTAACAGAATTATTTTAATTTTAAAAAATTTAAATATAAATTTTAAATAAAAACTTAATATATTATATATACAATAATTAATTTTTTTATCAAATAAAAGTATTTAACAAAAATTTCATATAAGATAAAAAGTTTTTCAATTTTTGTTTATATAAGTTATTAAATTTTTATTTAAAATGCATATCTAAAAGGTCAAAAATTAAAATAGATCTATTAAAAATGAACAACATAGTTATAAAATAGTAGGTTAATTTCCAGTTATTTACATATTATTATTTTTGGTTTATATGCCAGGGAGAGGGAAGGTAGGGTTGAGATTTTAGAGTACTTTAAGCTTTGCCTTGGTGGTTGGATCCAGTTTCAATAAGGAAGAAAGTATGGAGATTGAAAACAGGCATGGGGTCACTGGTTAACTGTTTTGTATTTTTTTAATTTATAGTTAAAGTGTTTTTTAGTCAGTTTTTATCTATATTAAAACTAATCTTTCTCTGAACAATTTTAAAAACACACCTCATATCAATTTGATACATTCAAAAAATTAATCTTTTTAAGTACTAATTTCAAAACTTTGAATGTCAGACCTAGCTGTTTTTCTCATGTTTCTATCAATATGCATGGAGTTGTTTTTGATGGTTTTAATTTTCTTTATTAATTAATATTGTGAGTAGTGACTTCAGCTTCACACTACCTCTTGACCATTATGATGTTTAATCCTTAATCATATTAATAAATTACTACTTGTATATAGAAATAGGTTAAAAGAAAGAGGGTTTGAGAGATGAGCGAGATAGGTAAAGAGAGAGAGAGGGGTGGTTCACAAGTAGAGGGAAACGAGCATGATAGATAGCTAAGAAGCAAAGCATTTTATGGTGGCAAAGATAGGAATAGGTGGACAGATGGGAACATGGACCATAACAGGAAGCAATGGATTGACAAGAGACCTAGAGGCTACAATTGGAGGATTTATAACTAGATAACTCCATATTTCTTGACTAATTTTCTAGCAAACTAGACTTATTGTGAGATGTGGAGGACTTTTGCAATGTGTGGAAGAGTATTTACGATCTATAGTCCTCAATGGACAAATGCAAAAGGGAATAAATTAGGATTTGTGCGATTTTTAGAGGTGAAGGACAAGAAAGAGTTAGAAAGTAGATTAAACTAGATACAGATAGGAGAGTGTAAGTTGCAGGCCAATATACCAAAGTATAACAAGGCAATGTGCAAAAGGAGGTGGGAGGAGAATGGATCTTTGGGGGCTGAGGTTTAAAGGAAGAGAAGTTATGCAGAGGTGGTGAAGGCTAAGATAGACATGAGAAGCAAGGAACCTATACACAGAGTTGGAAGGCAAGCAAAAGGCTATCAAGGGGAAAAAAAGACAAACTTGGCAAATGAAGAAGGAGAATAACCCATGGACGGGTTTGGAATTTAATGCCAAGCAGGAGGATCTTCAGTGGCTAGAGGGTTGCATGGTTGGCATAGTTTATTCTATTGAATCAATACCATTGTTACAAGAGAAAATTTTCATGGAAGGGTACTTTTCATGCAAAGTACATGCAATAAGCGGAATGTTGGTGCTACTGGAAGGAGGGATAAGGATGAACTCAAGGATTTGGTGGAATATCAGCATCGAAGTGGTTGAGTCAATGGTTTAAAGAGGTTTGACCATGGTCTCTAAGAATGGTAGCTAATGAGAAGTTCACTTGGTTGAAATGTCTAGGAATGCCTACACACAAATGGAATGCTAAACACTTCACAACTCTGCATTGTTTGTTTAGAAAGCTTATTACTCTTGATGATAGGACTAGTAAGAAAAAGAAGATGGATGTGGCAAGATTCCTTATTTCCACTCCTTTAATGAAGTTCATCTCTAGGACAATCACTTTGACGTTGATGGCATCTTATATAGAATCAAAATTGTGTAGGATAATTCTAGTGATGAGAAGTCTTCGTCATTGGAAGATGAATCAGAGAGTTGTCATGGTGTTATCGAAGATGGTGATAGAGGAGATGATGGTGTGGTACTTGACAAGGAGAGGAAGAGTGCCGTTAAAGATGTGGATGTGGAAGAGTCATTGGGAAGTTGAAGAATGGTTTGTGAATCAAATGAGGAGATTTGGAATCAAAGGGGGTGCTTGTTTTGAATTGGAAAATAGTAAAAATATTAGTTTGGATCCTTCCCATGATATCAATTTGATCTGCAACTTATTGATTGGGGCATCTGACAATGTGGTGGTGCATGAAAAATCAAAGTTTGTAGGCAATGATTATAGCATACAAAGCTCAATAGACGTGGAGTAAGAAATCGAGGTAGATGGGCCCACAGATGGGGTGGATCATTTGCCAAACAAGGGTGGGTTAGAGGATAGTTTGTTTTCATCAAATATGCCTAATGGATCAAACTATTGTGGCCTAGGCCAAGTTGACTAGTCTCAATCGAACGATGAAGTTATGATGAGAATAGTTGGACCAACGGAAGAAAGAAATGTAAAAAAGGAGAGCCTTTTAAAGATGGATTAGGGAAGCTGCAGAATTGGAATGTCGGCTAGTGCCTTTAGGAGAGAATTTGGACGAGAGTAAGGCTCTTGGTTCTCAGACAACATCATAGAATGCAAGTGGTTTCTTGGTGGGGAGAATCAGTAAAGGGAAGAAGCAAAGATCAAAAAAGCAAGGCAAGAAGGGCTTGATTATGCTTGGCAATGTGCAAAAGTTCAATGCTTTGTTAGAATGCATAAATCTATAGAAAAAAGAAAATTTGCCCAACTAAGAAGGAAAATTTAGTAGAGATGTAGCCAACATTCAGTTTTGGACAAGGAAACCAGATAGTAGGGGATTCGGTAGAGGACAACGGGATTGAAAATAGAATAAAATTCTATTGAGCAAGAATAAGAGGAAAGGGGCAAAGGGAATATGAGAGTTTAAAAAGGCAATTGGGGTAGTAGCTAATGGCAATGAAGAAGAAGTCAAAAAGAAAATTGAAGTAATGGAGAACAGGGATAGGCTAGCCATAAAAGAATTGATGATTAGGCCAACTAGCAACGCAAGAAAAGGTGAGACTCATCATCCATGATTATTGTCACAGTTAATACACATGGAATTGGTGGTGAAGGGAAGAGAAGGGAAATTAGGGAGTTGATCAAAAGAGAAGGGGTTGAATTTTTAGCTATTCAAGAATCTAAGATGGAACGTGTAAATTGTAGGGTTTACAGATCTTTATGAGAAAGGAATGGTTTTGATTGGGCTGCTAAACCATCTTTAGGACACTTAGGAGGGCTCATTTGCTTGTGGAACCCAAATTTTTTCCAAAAAGCAAATGAATTTGTTAGTGATGGATACCTAGGTGTATCTGGTTTATGAGGACATAAGAAAATTCCTATGAACATTGTTAATGTCTATTTTTCATGTGTAATTAGAGAAAAGAGAATCTTATAGGTAGAATTAAAGAAGTTGGTGGGGACAACAAAGGTAATTGGTATTTTGGTGTTGACTTTAACGTAGTAAAATCTCCACAAAAAGAGCATGACGAAACAACTTAGAGAGAGAAATAAAGGAATTTATAGAGTTTATTGAAGAAGCAGGCTTGATTAAATTACCATTAAGAGGTAAGAGGCATACATGGTGCCATTCAAATGGGAAGTCGATGAGTTGATTAGACAAGTACTTGTTATTAAAGGAATGGATGTTGAATTGGAGTGAATTTAAACAATGGGGCCTGAAACTCACAATATCATTTCATTGTCCTATATTGTTGAAAAATAAAAAACGTGATTAGGGTCTTAAACTTTTTAGGTTTTATAATTCTTGGATTGATAAAGCAAACTTTAAGGTAATGGTGTAGGAAGCTTGGAACACAGGAGGCATAGAGGGATGGAAAGGTGTGTGTCTTAAGGAGAAATTAAAAAATACTAAAACAATGTTAAAGGTTTGGGGGAAAGGCTATGCATATGAGCTAGATGAAAAAGATAGCAAAGGCAGAGGAGGTTGTTTAAGATCTAGATCTAAAAGGAGAAAATCAATAATTAACTAAAGAGGAAAGGCCACTAGAAGAGATAATGTAGAGATGTCATGAAAGAACTTAAGAATCAAGAAAAGGATACTCCAACAGAAAGCAAGGAAAGCTTGGCTGAAGGATGTGGATGCTAACACAGCTTTCTTTCATAGTGCATAAGGAATATATGAAGGAAGAATGAGATTAATAGTATCATGGTTAATGGCAAACATGCACTAAGGTAGAAGAGATTAAAGTAGAGGTAGCAAAATATTATGAAAAGTTATTTGTTGATAAGGGGTGGAGAAGACCAATAATTGACGATATTGAGTTCAATCAAATCATAGATGATTAGAATTTGAGGCTAATGGCAACATTTGAAGAAGATGAGATTAAGGTAGCAATCTAGACATGTGACAGCTTTAAATTCCTTAGACCTGATGGATTTAATTTCAAATTCATCAAAACGATGTAGGAAACCATTAAAAGAGATTTGATTGCATTTATATAAGAGTTTCAAGAAAATGGGAGACTGGTCAAGGGGTCTAATGCATCTTTTTTGGTGCTTATACCGAAGGTGGAGAATCCAGAATGTGTGGAGGATTTTCGGCCAATCTCACTTATCAAAGTAATGTATAAGATCCTATCTAAGCTTGTAGTTAATAGATTATGTAAAGTGCTAAGTAGTGTGATTGGGGAAAATCAGATGGCATTTATTAGAAGAAGGCAATTGGCGGACAATGTAGTGATAGCTAATCGAGACATTGATGATGTTTGGAGAGGAGGCAAGGATTGCTTTATTTTAAGGTGGATTTAGAGAAGGTATATAACAATGTAAGTTGGAGTTTTTTGAATTATATGATGATGATGAGAATTGGGTTTAGTGAAAAATGGAGAAAATGGAT